CCCTTGGCGTCTCTATAAAAACCCTGGACCAGAGACAGTCCGGGCCCGTTGGAATAGGTTCCAGGCCCTCTCGAGGCTATCCTTGATTTTCTATCTGTTTATCTCCGAGATATTCTCCGCTATAAATCCTTCTATCTAATATTTCCTGCTGCTCGCACTCAAGAAAACTCTGGGAAGCTGTGGGGGTGGTGGGCAAACGCCCCACACTTCCTCAGTCTTATAAACTGAATAACAATATCCAAACTAATTCAGGGCCCTTTAATTTTTTTTTAAGAGAAAAGATTTTTTTTCAGTTTAAACCAAGTGCTTTACATGAACTCATTTTTTTTAAATAACTGCAGACTGATTGCACATGTTCCTATTCATTCATTATAACACAACCTTTTGTGAGCTTCCACTTGGCCATTTTCAGTAACAGAACCAAAGTTACCCATTTGTGTAAAAGGAACAAAAACTATATTGGAAAATTACTGTGCTTTTCAATTCTGTGGCCCAATGAGTCTGAATTCTCTGATTAACCTACAGAATTGTATTATAAAGGTAATTAAGCAGTGGGTTGTTATTATTAATTACTTCCCAATAAGTCCCAGTAACAAGAAAATAATTAAAGCATATATTTCCCTGTCCTGTTCCCCAGTGCCTGCTGTGTACACACACAGTTCATCTGCTGCCTCGTGTGTGACGTGTTCACAGTGCCCTTCGTCTCTCACACAGCAGTTTAAGCCAGTGGGGAAAGAGGAGTATAAGATCAGATCAAGGGGGAGCAAAAGACACTTCTACAACTCTTTCGAACAGAATGGAATTGGGCCAGTCCAGAGGGGAGGCCGGTAGAGCTGTGAACTGTGGACCTGGTGCAATCTAGATCCCGTGTGGAATCATGGGAGGTGGGAGTGGACAGAGCCGATGACAAAACTTCAGAGGAAAAACAAGAGGAAGGAGAGCTTGGGAATAGCTTGTCTCAGGCAGTAGACTTACCCATAATTTCTAACTGTTACCAACACAAACACATAGTAGCTGCTGAGAGATTTGGGGTTGAGATCAGGCTCCGGACTTATAATGTGACTTTGAACAATGTGTTTAATCTCCATGAGTTCAGCAGATGCAGCTGCAAAATGACCCTAACATTGTCTACCCAGTAGGGTTACAGCAAGGATTGTCTAATACAATGCGGGGGGATGGCAATGCCTGGAAAAATCGTCTAGTCGCTGTCTTATTATTGATGTGTATTTTTCCTCTGAAGTCTCTGTGTGTACATTTCTGTGTTTTCATTTGTGTATAAATGTTCATGTGTTTGAGTGTGGTGCTTGTGTGCCACAATACACATGTAGAAGTTAAGAGACAACATCAGGTGTTCGTCCTGGCCCTCTACCTTGTTTCAGACAGTCTCTTATATTTACTGCTGCTTGTGACAGATGAGCTGGCCCATAAGCATCCCGAGATTCTCCTGTCTCTTGTCTCTCATCTTATTATAGGAGCACTAGGATTACAGATGTGCCCTACTTTATGTGGGTTCTGTCATCTGAACTCAGGTCCTTGTGATTGCATAGCAAGTGTTCTGCATATTGAGCCATCTCTCTAGCCCTCCATATGTAATTTTCGATTACCCACCAACCCCCAGTTAGTTAGTGGTCACCAGATTTGATCCTCATGAATTTTACTACAAAGATACCCAAGAAATAGATTGTTATTAGTTCAACACTAATTTGAAACAAATAGGTGTATTCTAAATATTTTATTAAGCATCACTCATTGACAAAGTCAGTGGTTACACTGACATGTAGTAAATGAAAAGATGCCAGAATTTGAAACCAGATCAACTTCATATCCTGGGTCCATGACTCACCGAGAACATAGTTTGTTGAATCTGGATAGTCTACTGTAGTGTGGATCTGGAGTGTCCTCCACAAGCCCATATGTTAAAGGTTGATTCCCAGCCAATGGCACTGTTGGGAGGTGGTGGGAAGTTAAATATTTGTGGAAGTGTGTTCCCTTGAAGGAAATATTGGAACCTCAGCTCCTTCCTTTCTCTCTCTCTCTTATTTCCTGGCTGCTGTGAAGTCAACAGGCTTCCTCAGCCACCCTCTTCCACTGTGCCACACAATGCTACCACAAGCCCAAATCAAGCTGCCATAAACTGAAACCATAAGCCAAGATAAACCTTTCCTCTTTTTAAGCTGATTATCTCAGGTGTTTTCTCACACTAATGGAAAACTGGCTCAGTTAAGCCAAAGAGTGAACCAAATTAGGTAAGAGTATGCAGAACAAAGCGTTAGGAGTGGATCCGATCAAAAAACATTGTCTACACATAGGAAATTCATGAAGGGTAAGTTAAAATATCTTTAAAAGAAGCAAGCAAAAAGGAATATGCATACAATGAAGTGGTCATAGAAATCACAGTGGAAGCTTGAGTGAAGACTGGGAAAGCTACAGGGTTTATTCTTGACCCTCCAGCCTCTCTGTGCTTTATTTTATTGGTAATGAAGCTAAGGCCAGGGATTAGTGGCTCAGAGACACAGACCTCAGGCTCCCTGGCATCTGGATCATTCATCTCTCCTGGGTTAGACATTGTGTATAAAGGACCATTTTGATTCCAAAGCCATACTTAAAAAAAAACTAATTATGAATTTAATGTTTCAATTAATAATTGGACGAACTCAGTATAATAACTAATCTGAAATCCATGGGCTAGCCCATGTTTTAGAAGCTTGAGTCAAAACCCAATGGTGTTTTGCAAAATATTTTGAAATACGGTCAGTGGCGTCTTTCATAGTCTTATCCACCATTTCTTTCCCCTTGAAATGTGTTTTTCTGGACCCTGGGAGGGATTTATAGCAACAAATGTCCATGAGGGAAACACTGCTCTTCTAAACAGCAGGCCTGCTCTGTGTGCACCAAGTTCACAGCTGTCAGCTAAATCACCGCAGCTTCCAGTTGCTCGGAGGTTACTGAGGATAGGAAAGAATGAATGTCAGCTTCAGTTTTCTGGGGCTTCTCAGTGATCCTGGGTCCTCCCTACACAGATGGCCCGTCATCCTCAGTCATCATTTTAAACTGTTTGAACCTGGACTATTCTGTTTAGGCTGCATTCATTGTGCTGGGCAAGTCAGGTTCATCAGTGGTCCAGCCTCTGAACCTGTCCACAATCTCATGTCATTTCCTGTTTAGCCTAGGTCATAGCATACAGTATCTCTGTGTGCCAGGCTCTCTGAGGGACAGTGCATGGCGGTAAGTCACAGGGGGTCAGCTTCTCTCTGTCCCTTCTGATTCCCAATTGGCCTTTTCCTATTTCCTCTGGCCCTCAACTCTAGAAATCTACATCTGTCTTCATGCTTGGTCTAGTTTGATAGGTTTGCCTTGCCTTGTGGTATCCCACTCCTGTTTTGGTTAAAAACAAATGAGGGAAAACTGCCAGTTAAGAGCACTAAGTTTGAATGGCTGTGTGGAGGTCTGTGTGCGATTTTAATATGTCCTGGTCTACATATCAGCATTTTATTCTTTGCTCTTCCTTTCGCTCGGTCAGTCTGGGACTCTAAAATTCACTTAGCAGTTATAGGGTAAACAGTTACACTATCGTTTGCATCTTACAGATGGAAATGTTGGGATCCTAAGTTTGTAGCCGACTATACTGTATCCCAGAGACAAAGGTGGGACCACAGCCCAGAGCTCCTGAAAGTCGCCCTCAAAAGCATTTCTGTCGACTCCTCCCCTTCCCTGTTTTCTCCTTAGGTAAGTCCTGTTTTTTACTGAATTGTGAAATGAGTGAATGAATTATGAGGCAAAGCTATATTTGTAGAAAGTGGCTTCTGTAATTTTTCCCTGAGCTTAGGGAACAAAACATCTAAGTTGAACCATGCAGCTTTCCCATACGCTTTTCTTCTGAGATGCAGCTGTATATTGCTTTATCTGTTATTTATTGGCCGTGTAGACAGTAGTATGAGCAGATGTGCTATTTTTCAAGATGCGTATCGTGTTCATTGATGTTGATCTGCCTGTCTTTGTGTTCCGACTCTGGCTTGAAGCCATTGTAACCACTACAGATTAAGGAAATATCCACAGACCATGCTTTCTTTGTCCAAATTGATCTTCATGGATGGCCTCGGGTATCTAGATGAGAAATTGCCCCAGTGATGTTCCGATGATTGCCAGATTCATTCAGCCTAAGTTTTCACTATAAATCCACCAGTTCAATATATTGGACCCAGGGAAAGATAGCAAAGAGAATAAACCTTACCATGGTACCATTTTTATTTAACTTGGTTCTTGGTTTAGTGTTAATCTGAGTTACTTTTGCGTAATGGTGCCCCAAATCCCTGAAAGAACAACTTAAAGGAGGAGGAGTTTGGGGGGTTCATAGTTTCAGAGGGTTTGTTCCCTGGTCACTTGGCTTTGTGTACTTGTTCAGAGCATCACGGCAGCAGGATGGATGACAGAAGACACATGTCCATTTCACAGTGGACAGAAACAGAAAAAAGGAGAAAGAGCCGGGGACAAGACTCCCCAAAAACCTGGCCCCAGTGACCTATTTCCTTTAGGCAGGCCCCACCTCCTAAGGCTTCCCTAACCTCCCCCAAACAGTGCCACCTGCTGGGAGCAGAGAGCGCCAAACAATAGCCCGTGGGGAACCTTCCATGCTGAAACCCGGACCGATGGTCAGACAGACACCTCATAGAGCCAGCACACCGGAGAGAAGGCAGCACCTGGGTCTGAAGTTTTGAGAATCGGGGAGAGGAAGCTATTAACCTGCCCTTCAGCAACTGCAGAAGCAAGAACTTACAGTTTCTGGGTGATTATCGGCTCTGAGGAAGTTCCCTGGGTCATGAGGCTTAGAAAACAGTGTCTGAAAGGAGGGAACCAGAGTCCGCTTCGACAAATCTGAACAACTGCCTGGCTGCCGGACTTGATCAGAAGGAAGCCACGTGAACGCCAGACTCTGAGTACAGAAGCCTAGAGTGGCGGGTTCCATTCACTCCACCAGAAGCCGTCAGACCCCAGAAATGGAGTCAAGAGGCTTCTTCACCCCCCGTGATTCACTCTGATTCCCTTTGTACACATATGGACTCTATTTTCTCCTGTCTTTATAAATATTGTTGTGACTGCCTCTGCGAAGCTACCTTTCTCACCCCAGGGGAAAGCCAAAGACCAGACGCCCCTACCCTCCCTCCCACCCCCTTCCTATTCGACAGAACTGCAAGGGGTGGGAGCAATTTGGCCAGTCAAAGTGATGTGTGTATTTGAGTGTTTAAAGAGCCGGGCTAAGCTCAGAGTCAGGGGCCTTCCATAAATAACCTGTGTCCTTCTCTGTGTGTGGTTGGGATGGAATGCCTTTCTCTTTAGAGTTGTACAAGTATCAAAGATCAAAGAGTCAACAGTTTCTGGATGTGCTGCTCATTGCAAAGCCCCTGTTCTCTGTGGGAGGATTCTGGCAAAGGCACCAGTCATTCTCTCTGGGGACTGTTTGCTGGCGGTTGGGGTTGGAGGGGGCTCAGAGAACTTAGGGCTTTTAAGGGACTTTTTGAAAAATACAGATGAAAAATTCACTTTCAAAGGCAAGTGAAAACTGGCATCTTTGGGGGTATGGAATGTGGCAGGAGGGAGAAGGAAGTAAAGAAATTGACCCATTACCACATGGAATGTGGTTCAAGACTAACCGGAGGTGGAAGAGTAACCTGTGTAATTTACTTACCAGTGAGTAGGCATTAGAGCCGGCCTTTGATAAGCAGAGCAGAACATGTACAGGGATTTGGTTTTTTTAACCCCAAACTAGTTAATGGCCTTGAAAAACAGGCTTTGAACTAGTTTGCTAGGGTATGGGGGAAAAAGTGTGCTTCAAATCTCAGGATTGTAGACAATCACAATGCACAAAATAATAGTTGCTCTCTATCCCGTCTGCTGTGTGCCATGTACCATGCAGTCACAAGGCATCTTTAATCCTCACAGCTGTGCACAGGGGAATTTGTTATCCTGTCTTACACATAGGATGATGGGCTACACACAGTCGAAATGCTTGACTCAAGGTCACACTGTTATTAAATACAAAGTCCAGCATTTGAACAGAGCTCTGGAATGGAGAAGATGTGACTACCACTTAGCCTGTGTTTAATCCTTCTGGCTTCTGCTGCAGTTTCTGGCCTGTGTTATGGAAGCTGGTGGGGCCCTTTTGCCTTCTGAGCTTGCAGCAGCAGCAGCAGCCTGGGATTGCTGTGGTTCAGGCTGAACTAGATGGTCCTAAGTCCAATGCTCCTGGCTTCTCTTGTACAAGCTCACGCGGGCATGCTGTGGCTTGTAAAACTGCTTCATACCACAGGTAGATTTTCCAGTGGAAAATGTGTCCTAAACCTTGTGATAAAGAAACCATGTTAGGGGGGCTGGAGAGATGGCTCAGTGGTTAAAAGAAGTGGCTACTATTCCAGGGAACTCAAGTTCGATTCCTAGCACTTATATGGCAGCTCATAACCATCTGTAACTCTGGTCCTAGGGAATCTGATGCCGTCTTCTGGTTTCTATGGGCACCAGGTATGCACACAGAGCACAGATACATGTGCAGGCAAACATTCATTCGCATAAAATGAATTTTAAATTTAAATAAAGAAAGCATTGCCGGGCGTTGGTGGCGCACGCCTTTAATCCCAGCACTCGGGAGGCAGAGCCAGGCGGATCTCTGTGAGTTCGAGGCCAGCCTGGGCTACCAAGTGAGTTCCAGGAAAGGCGCAAAGCTACACAGAGAAACCCTGTCTCGAAAAACCAAAAAAAAAAAAAAAAAGAAAGCATGTTAAGGTAAATACTTGACAAGACTATTATATCTGAAAGGACCCTTGTCAGACTCTGTGGAATTTGTGTGCAACATGTAAAGTCCTTCCATTGAACACTCAAAACACTGAACATGTATACCTGTGTGGGTGGCCTGTTCCTGTGGCCATCTTGGGCAGTCAGACCTAGTCACTCATATCCTGTACAGCACAGTACATAAGCGGGTGTTTCATCTGCTGTTCTTTGCATGGAGTTAGAAACCAATGTCTGTGAGTGACTCCTGCACATACTTGGCAATGACGGCCAAAACATCATTTCCTGAAGCGTATTATGTTAATGAGAATCATATCTTAGCTCCCCATTCCTTACAGTATCTTCATTTTAGTAAAAACCTGAATGGCATGAGCCTTTCACAGAAAGCAAGCAGTGCTGTATAAAGGATGTAGTGATTAGAGTCAGTACCAGGTCAACGGCTGTGTGGTCCCCAGAGCTTTTGTCCTTGTCGTAGATAAGACTTGAATCCAAAGGATGCCATGAGACCAAATGTTTAAGATGATCAGAAAACCACAGCCACCTAAAAATGTCACCTTCTTTTGGCACTTAACTCCCTCCATGTTCCTTTTTTTTTTTTTTTTTTGAAGTTTGTAAAGGTCAGAAATAGAAGCAGAGAGGCAGTAGATTCTCTCTTTTTTCATACTGATTTAATAGCAATTGAGAGCATCATCAAAATCCTGTGGCTCTTCCGCCTCCGAATCTTCTCAAAAGGTTTCACACATGCAGTGTAAGGAACTGTGAGTCAGCCTTCCCTCTCCCAACTCTAAGCTTCGAAGAAATCATCTGCCAGGTGCTGCATATGTTCTCAGCCCCGCGACAGGAAGAAAACACATTTGCTGAAAAGCAATGGAAACTTTAAAATCCAGTTGCACTTTGCTAACTTCTCTTCTTCTCTGTCTGGTGCCTGGAGGATGTTTCTGGCCCTGGATGAGTACTCTGCCAGGGGTAGCCACTCCCAGTGGGGATGGAGGGGGAGCATGGGATATGCTGACCGACCAATAGGTAAGATTCGGATACAGAAATAGTGAACCCGTAAGCAACCACTTCTTGAAGGTAAAACCCAGAGATTCTAGTTCCATTTGCTTCAGGCCTGTAATTTCCCCTGCAATTAGAAACTGGTGTGCAACTGTGGAGACATGGCCTCTAGTCCAGTGAGCTATTTGGCAAAGGAACAGGGCCAGGTAGAGAAGAATAACAAAACCAGAAATTATAATGTTGCCCTTAGATGCATAACTTCATGCAATAGATGAGATCTCTGGAATGTTACAAGGCTGTTTTTGTCTGGAAAATTGTCTTCTGCAAAGCATCAAGACTCACCTCGTGTCCTAGGGACGGACTGCTGGGAGGTACTGTTTACTCCATGTTAACATTGCAGAAACAAGATTCAAACAAGGTGTGCGTCTCTCGTGAAGCAAAAGAAATCACTTACAGGATGGGCAAATGTGGTGGTGTGCTGAGAAGTGAGTGGTGTTCAACTTTCTCCGTGACGTTTTGTGCGCCTTCACCTCTTGATCGCGGAGTTCTGCTCTTCAGTAGTGGCTGTTTCGTTGTCACGTTGGATTGTCAATTTGGATGCTTTTGTTCATTAAATGTTGTGATGTGATAGGAAAGCTGCGGTAGACTCAGCCTCAAAACAGAAACTTTTCTAACCCACTATTTCCTACCCACTCACCCAATAACATCTGTTTTCGGTAGGTTTTCTTTCCTCAAATATCCAGTGGTATAATTCCACGCTCAGGGGGAATTGATGGTGACATTTAATTTGTCCAAAGAGTTAGAGAGAGAGAGAGAGAGAGAGACAGAGACAGAGACAGAGACAGAGACACAGAGAGAGACAGAGAGGGAGAGAGAGAGAGAGAGAGAGAAAGAGAAAGAAAGAGAGAGACAGAGACAGAGACAGAGACAGAGAGACAGAGATTTAATAT